ATGTAATCCACCATATAAACAGACTGCGAAAAAAAACACATGATCATCTCAATAGATGCCAAAAAAGCCTTTGACAAAATCCAACACTCCTTCATGATAAAGGTCTTGGAGAAATCAGGGATAACAGGGACATACCTCAACATAATAAAAGCAATATACAGCGAGCCAACAGCCAACACCAAACTAAACGGAGAGAAACTCGATCCAATTCCTCTAAAATCGAGGACAAGACAAGGCTGTCCACTCTCTCCATACCTCTTCAATATTGTCCTTGAAGTTCTAGCTAGAGCAATAAGACAACAAAAGGAGATCAAGAGAATACAAATCGGAAAGGAAGAAGTCAAACTCCCACTATTTACAGACGATATGATAGTCTACATTAGTGACCTGAAAAACTCTGCCAGGGAACTTCTACAGCTGATAAACACCTTCAGCAAAGTAGCAGGATACAAGATTAACTCAAAAAAAAAAAAATCCGTAGCCCTACTATACACTGATGACACATTGGTGGAGAAAGAAATCAGAGAAACATCACCCTTTACAATGTAAGTTTAATTAGCATGTTAATGGAAATACTTACAAAGTACAGTGGCCTTCAATAGCGTACCGTAATGCCGTCCATCCAAAGGCATCCTTGCAGAAGAAGTCAATGCCTTTCTTAAGGAGTAATGTAGCCAAATGTTTTGATCCACACCGTATAGCATATATCAAGGTGTTTCTAAAATAGCAGAAGGATAGATTCACTGTCATAAAATGAATGAAATTAGTTTAATCTACATAGATGTGTCTTACCAACTTAGAATCTCACATTACTGTTGTAGAATTGGCCATTTTCTAACAGACATAGCATCATAGACCCACAATTGTTCTTCTTTGTGAGGCTATCCCCCAGAATAAAAAAGGAAATACCTTTTCCCACTAATCGACTTTGGAGTAGAATTCCTGACCTCTTGACCTTTAAAAAACTAGCTATGCTAAAGTTTTGCATCTGAAATAGTTAAGGAAGAGTTCACATTTTCCTAGCCTAATGTAATATATCAGTTCTTAACCAGCTGAAGATGAAATAATTCAAAGCTATGTGCATGATTTGAATAGTGGTGATATTAAAGTAATAATAATAATAAAATTCATGGTGCTTTTAGTTAATGATGTTGATGACTATGTACTGTACTAAACTAAGGGCCATGTAAATAATCCTATAACTACTTATCAAGGATGTTATCATCTCTTTCACACCAGGGGATATATTTGGGTGTGAGCATCATCCTGAAGATGACATACCTAGCAATTCAGAGACCTGAGAATTTCATCCAGTCTTGAATGAACCTAAAGCTTCCTCTTTTCTCATTCACTTATGATTTATCTTCATTAAATTTTATCCAATTATTGCTTTTATCTCCATTCTAATGTCAAGTAAATATAAATGGGTTAAAATAAATCAGGGATGGTTAGGGGAGAATGAACATTTAATAATAGCAATTAATAGTCACTTAAGGATAACCTGACATCAATATTCTATAAAGAAATGCAATTTAAAGAGTGATTCCACATACTATAATTTTCAACTCCCATTTGGCTGAATATAGTATCTTAAGGATACAAGAAGGAAATGTGAAAATACTATAAGATCTCTGAGACCTCATTAGAGTTTTCTTGTATGGTAAATTATGGTTGTAGCATGAATTCTAATAGGTCTTAATAATAAGAACCCGGAGTGAGATATAGGGATTAATGCTGAAAGATCGGAGAAGCAGAGCAGCCAAATACTCAGGCCAAATGGTGATCCTGTCTCTAGGAATCCTCAGACTAAATGCATGAGCTTGTGTCTCCTCCCGCCTTATATTCTTCTCTAAGCCCGGTGATATCCCTTCCTGTCTCTGCCTCCCTAATGCTGGGATTAGAGGCATTTGACTTCCAAGTACTGTGATTAAAGGTGTGAGCCACCACCGACTAGCTCTGTTTTTCTTTTAGCCCGGATCAATTTTGTGTAGCCCAGGATGGCCTGGAACTAACAGATCTGTCTGCCTCTGTCTCCTGAGTGCTGGGATTAAAGGTGTGTGCCACCACTGCCTGGCCTCTATGGTTAACTAGTGTGGCTAGCTCCCCACTCTGATCTTCAGGCAAGTTTTATTTGTTAAAGCACAAACAAAATGTCACCACATATGGTTAATGCAGAAACTCACAGCTGGTCAAAATCCCACAAATGGGACATCTACCCCTTCCTCAAGGCTAGGGGACCACCAGGAAGAGGACATAGGGAGGATGTGAGAGTCAGATATTGGGGAGGAGTGGACAAAACCATTTCTTCTGTACAAGGTAGGACTGATGTGCTCATGAAGTCACAGCAGCTGTGGTTGCCTATACAAGATCAAGACAACCAATGTCAACCTTTTGTATGCACTGGGGAGTGGCTCAAGAGCCCCTACTCATAGCATAGGAACTATTGACTGTTGATGGCTTCTAGGGGAAGGAGAGTCAGATATCTTTAAGGGTGTGGCTCCTAAACCAAGCTTCAGTGGATGGCACCACATCCATAAGTACATGGACAGCACGAATTGGAGTGGATAAGGCATTAATTTATTTTTAAAAAAGAGTACACAAAATTGGCGTAGGAAGATGAAGGAATAATCAAAATGCATCACATTAGATTCTCAAAGAGTTACTAAAATATTTTAAATAAAACAAATAAGTAAAAAGTAAATCTAAAAATAAAAAGGGAAATACCATTAGATAATTAGCAATCTTATTGTGAATCAAAACAATCATACAAAAAGTTCATACATTTTAAGAACAAATGAAAACTCATTTAGCTTGTAAATTCCTAAAATCAAAGGACCAAAAAAGTCAGATTACAAATAACAATCTTTAGTCAGTACTACAAGGCAATGTGACATTATAAACATATATGTTATAAACATACATGTATATATATATATATATGTTTATAATCATATATAGAGATACTATTTGCACTGCTCACTTCAAACAATTACTTTTCTTCTCTAACAGACTAAACTGACGCTTATATCTATGCTTTCACTGTATCCTTGGTAATTTAGTCCTTCTTCCAACCAACCATGTTTCTGAGTTGCAAGGTTGCTACAAGTCCAAATACCACTAATGTTCTACCTCTTTTTAGTTCAAATGACTTTACCTTTGCATGTCATCTACAACATGTATATCTGCTCCTTTTTTCACTAAAAATTCTGCCATCTCTATCCTCTTTTCTCTGAGTGCCAGCAAAAGTGGTGTGAAGCCATCCTGGGAAACAATAAAACCAATTTTTAATTTAAAAGTTACATGTTCTCAACTTACCTAAAAATCTTATAAAGAACCGTACAAATACAAGCATGTGATAAAAGCATAAAATCACAGTGGATAAATGTTGCCTTTCACTTGCTCTGCTCCCTATCTTTAAAACGATCCTTTCCTGCCTAGGGTAGTCATATGAACCTAAGCCTCTCCAGTCCCATTTCAAACCTACATTGTTGTCTCAAATATTTGCTTCTCTTACAGCACTCATTACTTGAAGTCATGTGACTGCTCTCACATACACTAAAAAACTTCTTAAAGGTAGGGGCTGCATCTTCTTTATGTCAACAAACCAAACCCCACCACACAGTGGCAAATGAAATTTTTGAGTTAGAATATCAATGGCCAAATTTTCTTTTCTACATCAAGATTTTAAAGTAAGTCACTTGGGCCTCAGCAACATGGCCGCCTTCTGCCTGGGCACCCAACAGTAAAGATTCAGGAGAGACCGGGCTTAATTCTTTAGGAGCAATGTGAAGTTCAGGTTTTTGCAGAAATCTCCTGAAGCCTAACAGTGGGGTCAAGTCATGCAGCAAACTCAGTGTAGCCAAGGCCACTTTGAGCCTGTATCCCCTGTGATTTCCTTGTTGCTGGGGGTGTGTTTTCCAGTGCCTGTATACAAAGCAAGTGTGTTTTTTAAGATCAGTCTCCTAAACTGTAATTTAAAAAAAAAAAAAAAAACTCATAATACTTCATTCTTTCTGCCCTTGGTAATTTATACTCCACTTAAGATCAATTCTCCCAGTGTTCACAAAATAATTACTAGTCAGATAGAAGCTGATTCCTGTGGACTTCAGTGTGTGTGTGTGTGTGTGTGTGTGTGTGTGTGTGTTTAAAACTGCCAGACTAATCATGCCAAGGCTCTATCAACTGAACACCTTCACTGAGATTGGCTACAAAATGGACAACTGTTCTTCAAGTGACAAGAAGATTCATGTTTTCTACTCTCCTGACAGAGAAAATCCTGCTTGCAATTCACATTTTGGGATCTGTTAACTTGCTTAATACAATAGTGGTATGAAACCTTTAAAACAGTCTGTACTTACTAAACTATTGAAAACCTTCTAAGAGTAGTAAATTATTATTGATGGCTGGAAGAAAAGTGGTCTAGTCTGTAAGCCAGTAACCATTGTTGATTTTGATGGTAAGCTTTGATTGCCAACTTGACATGACTTAGAATCATCCAGGAAGAGAATCTCAATGAGGAAATGCCTACATTGAGTTGACCTGTGCACGTGTCTGTGGTAGATTGTCTTAAAAGATGTGGAAAGACCCAGCCTACTATGGGTGGCACCATTCCCTAAACAGAGGCTCCAGAACTGTAGAAGAGAAAAGAATTCAAGCTTTGCACTAGCAAGTATTCATGAGTTCATTTCTCTCTGCTTTTGACTATAGAGGTTATGGGACCAGATGACTCAAGCTTCTGATACTGTGACTTCCCAGAAATGATGGACCTAGAATCATGAACTAAAATAAACCCTTTCTCCTCTAAGTTGCTTTTTTGTCAGGTATTTTGTCATAGCAATGGAAATGAAACTACTTGATAGTACTCCATTTAGCTTCTCAACACAGAGGTAAAAGGAAAGTTAGGGTAGCATTATTAGAAAAGACACTTTGGTAGGAAACAGTATCTAATCAACATCTGATCAAATTCTAGTCCTTCTAGACATGTCCAGATTTTAGAACCCAGGAATGCCTATATTGCAGTTATCTATTTATGGTTTCTTTCATAAACTAGAAGTTGTTTCAGAATCCCAAGGAAGTATTTTGGGAGATGCATGCCCATTACTTAGTAGATGTACTGAATCAAACTCCACACAACCACAACTGAGAATTAGAGCCACATAAACAGAACTGTTATATGGACATGGATAATTCTCTTCTTCATTTGCTTATTTGACTAATAACAAGGACTCAATCGCTAAAAATGGGGAGCATGCCACTCAGAATGCAACAAAATTTCAATATACAACAAAAAGCAAAATTAAATATCCCTCTCACCCAGCAAGCCATTGTAGATTTGAGAACAGAGTTTAGTTTTTACCTAAGTGGATGTTTCAGCCAGAAAATACACTTGTGAACTGTTTGATTGTCCCTATAGTTTTCCACATAATTATCACTTAGTCACTACCAGTCTCATTTCTCCAGAGGTCTCCTTAAACCGATCCCTAGACATGTTTGTAGTTAAATACCCTTCATGATCAAACTACGAATTACTACCTTCCACATGGAGAAAGACCGTATCAGCACACATTAACTGATTTTTTTTTAAATTCCTCTTGCTTTATTCCCTTAGGTACCTAATTTCCAGATGTACATTTCCTTCTGCTCCTTTTCTCCTACAGCCTTAGGTTACTTGATAGTAACTTGCCAACAGCATCACAATTTCCATTTTACATGAGTGTTTTTGTTTTGAGTTCTGAGATGAAGCCATTTCCAAAGTAAACTTTGCTGTCTACTCCGGCAGTTTTACAAAAGTCAAGGGACATGGTTGAGGAAAAGACAAAAATGAGGAAGTTTTGCTTCTAACCGATTCAGTGGTTTCTCAAATAATTCATATTAAATGTGTAAAAGAAAGTTGTGCATCAAATGTTTCTAAGTTTGGGTGTTGAGCTCACAGCTTCTACAGTTGAATCCTTTCCAACTCTTTTCACTCAGGAAATGCTTAGGTTTCTAAATATGAAATGTTGGACCCCCACATTTGACACTATTAAAAGACTTTATTTCAGAGATTTTGAAATAAAAATGCAGTGAACTGTACTTTGGTCTTTTGTTCGATATCAGCATGGTATTTGAGCAGTAGTGACGCCATATCTTCATGCCCATTGTACACAGCATAGTGCAAGGCACAGTTGCCACTGTTATCCCTAATGTTCGCATCAGCACCGTGCTCCAGTAGAACAGCTGCACATTTCTGTTTCCAGCATTGGACAGACTGCATTTTATAACAAAAAGCAGATTATCAGCTCAAGGAATACAAGATAAACATCCCACAGGTTTCATCAGCAGTTACATGTAAATGGAGGTAGCATCCTTTCCATCTTAAACCCTTCAATCAAGTGGAGCCCATGCTGAAGTTAAGGGCAGAAACCTACCTTCATCAGAGGTGTGATGTGGTTCTTGTCCAAGGCATCTATCTCACAGTTATTATTCACTAGAACATTCACCACAGGTAGCCGGCCATAGACACAGGCAAAATGCAAAGCTGTCCTGTGGAAATGAGAGGAGTTTTTGTGACATTGTAGACCACTGTCTCAACATTTAATTTTAACATTAGATATCCTGTCATTTTTCTGCCTTCTAAATAAATCTTTGATGTTCTTAGAAAAAAAGGACAAGATTCCTCCTGCCCCCCTTTTTTTTTGTTTTTTTTCAATTTTAAAGAAAGGGCAGCCTGTTTGAAGTCCTTTCTCTATGTGAGCCATGGATAGATCACATGACCTCCTTCCTGTTGAGAAATGCTCTGCCATTGAGCTGCTCATTTGAATCAGCCCAGAGCAGTTTATTTGAATAAAAGACAGCATGGCTGGATAAAAAAATGAACTCAGTGCTATTTCTGTAGACGTTTGTTTCATTTTCCTTTGTTTGCCAAAAAAAAGTTGGATCATTGGTATGTTTCTGTATATTTTTGTTTCCATTTTTGTGTTTTTATTGGGCTGTTTTTGTGTGATTCTTGGGGATGGGGGTTGGGGATTTTGTTTGCTTGTTTTATAAAGAGATAAAGATATAAAGAGATAAAGTGCAGAGTTGGGTGGGTGTGGAGGTGGGGAGGATGTGAGAAGAGCTGGAGAAAGGAAAGCTTGATCTAACTATACTGTATGTAAAAAGATTTTCTTTCAAAAAAAGAAAAGTATCGCCTTTGAATTAAATTCCCCTTGGGTTTAGTCCTATTCTGAGCTAAATCACTTACCAGGTACCTCTCAGCCTTCCTTAGTCTCAACTTCCTGTTCCATAAATTTAAAAAAAAAAAAAGAAAGAAAAAAAAAAAAGGTTATCTAGGTAACTCGCTTGAGAAGCTTGGACACAGTCCTTGATTGACCCCTCCCACCCATCTTGGGTGTGTAGTGTCCTCTATTAATTCTTCTGTTTACATCTGTTTCACTTTCTAATAAACTCCATCTCTGCGTCGCACACAGATGGCAGAGCATAGGACACCGTTATGAGAAAGGAGGAAGAAAGGGCAAGAGGGGGGAGGAGGAAAAAGAGGAGGAGGAGGATAATAAAGGAAGGAGGAGGAAAAGGAAGGAGAGGAGGAAGAAGAAAAGGCAAAGAGGGAAAGGAAAACAGGAGGGAAGAGGAGGGGGGAGAAAGAAGTGGGAGGCAGTGCTATTTTTTTCAACACCAGCACGGAGATCTCCATGTGTGCCAACACTTCAACACGTGGCCCCTTTCTTAACCCAGCACCAAAGATCCGTGTGTACGCTGTGAATAGAACACGTGTCACTTCACCCCCAGACCCCAACCAATACTAGGTCTCTGGGAAAACCATGACTCTGGACACAGGGACATCAGGACTTTTGGTGTTTGACGACAGCAGACAAAACTGGCAGATCTCTGGTTGCTAGCTCTGTTAGACTAATCAAAAGGAGACTGGGCGGCCGGGCAGTGGTGATGCACGACTTTAATCCCAGCACTCGGGAGGCAGAGGCAGGAGGATCTCTGTGAGTTCCAAACCAGCCTGGTCTACAGAGCTAGTTCCAGGACAGCCTCCAAAGCCACAGAGACCTGTCTCGAAAAACCAAAAAAAAAAAAAGGGGGGGGGACTGAGTGGCAGTCAAAAGTTACTGTTTGGCGGCTTAGGACCCCTCCCAGGTGTGCAGATCTCGGGTGCAGAGCCCCAGAAGCACAGGCAGACCCCCTTCCCTCACTGCCCACCCGACCTCTTGGGGAAGCCAGGGAGAGAGACAGCCCTTTCTCCCATGCTGGCCTGCCCACAAGTAGACAGTTGCCCGTCCTCTCTCCCCCTTACCTGTCCTTGTGGTCTCTGTCAAACACACTGCACTGCCCGAGCGTGATGAGAACCTCCAGCCGGCCTGCATCACCCTCAGCTGCAACCCGGTGGATCTGCCCCAAGGGTCTGTATGTTGTATGGTATTTTGGATAGCTGGGACATTCACCGAAGAAAAACTCAGAGATGGACATTTGTGGGCCATCGCAGAAACCGAAGGGTGTCTTTTCCTTAACCCCAAAGATCTTCTTCATGGCAGAAGCCATTGGTCTCAGGTCCCTTCCCAACTTCTCATCTTTTCTGGTCCCCGAGCCCCGTATTAGGTCTTAGTAAAAACCAAGACTCGACAGCAACATTTGCACAGAGGAGCTCAGGGCTTAAACGTCTGCCAACCAAGGCCTTAAACAGTTGGCAGAAGCACGGTTGCCGAGCAACACTTCTAAACACAACGTGCACGTGCTAGTTCGTACAAGTGAGCAAGAGCGCAACCCTTGACACCCTTAGCATCTATGAGCCAAATGGTAAAGATGCTGAGTGGGCATGTGCCGGGCCCTGCTGGGAAGCGAACCTACAGTCTAAATGTCAATGGGGTTTGGACGAATGTTCCCATAATTTCAGACTTGTACCAATAGGAAAGCAATCTTTGCAAATATTGGTTTAAAGAAAAGGGCAACCTAAGGATGGTGAAGACATAGTTGGCAAAAATTTTTTGCTCAAGGAGCCAAGGCGGTGCTGCAGAAACCCAAAGAAACAGCTGACCTGACCTAGTGAGAGCATGGAGACCCTAGTCATAAAGCTGGGGAAACAGCATTAGACCAAACCAAGCCCTCGGAATGTGGTTGTCAGCTAGGAGGTCAAGACAGTCTACAGGACCTCTAACAGTGGAGCCAGTCTTTAACCCTAGAGCACAAACGAACTTTGGGAGTCCTTTCCCTATGGAGGAATACTATTGCAGCCCAGATACAGCAAGGAGGGCCTAGGCCCTCCCCCAAATGATATGACAGACTTTGAAGGTCCCTGGTGGGGGAGCCTCACTATCCCTGGGGAGTAGTGGGGGGATGGTTTTGGGGGGGGGACATGAGAGGATTGGAGGTCAAGGGAATGGGGGGATGGATATATAAATATGAGTTGCAATTAAAGAATTTTTAAAAATTTTTTGCTCTAATCATGATCTGCGTTGCTTTATCCCTCAGCTGGTTCTCCTTATCTTTGAACTGGACCCTGCCAACCTCCACAACCCAGAAGTTGCATGTTGTAGCTGGCCTCTCTGATGCTGTGATAAAACACTGGCTAAAGGAATATGAGACAGACAAGATTTATTTGTCTTATGAGTTATAGTTCATCATCAAGAGAAGCAAGGCAAGAACTGAATCAGAGACCACAACTGGATACTGCTCCCTGGATTGCTTCCTCTGACTTGTTAAGCTTTCCTTCTTATATGGCCCAGGCCCATCTGCCTAGGGCCCACCCCATTCACAGTGGTCTGGACCCTCCCACATCAATCAGCAATCCAGGAAATGCCCCCACAGACATGCCCACAGACCAGTCTGATGGAGTCAATTCTTCAATTGAGATTCCCTCTTCCCAGGTATGTCTAGGTTTGTGTCAAGTTGACAAAAGCTGACTAGGACATGCACTAACAAGATAGTGACTTCATGATTTCAGAGATGGTGGCAATTCATCATCAAATAAAAATTTTTTGAGAAGCAAAAAATATTTTTTGAGAAGCAAGTAGATACCGTTCAAATAAATTGAAAATGCATTTATGCATCCTTCTGTCTCTACCCTTTGACCTGCCTTACACTCGTGTTCTCTTCCCTTTTATTTCCCCTACACATCTGCAATGAATGAAGGATTAGTATGCATTCTAATGTGCCATTTAGAACCCTTGTTTTTTAAAACTTATGTGTCACAGGTTAAAACAGGACTTTAGTGGTTCTCTGGTATCAGTATCCAGGCACTTGCTGAACCTCCCTGCACTCCACAAACATACTTTGTTATCATCATCTTTGTTGTAGTCTTTGTAGTCATGGTCTTCTTCCTTTCTCCTACCCCCTCTTCCACTTTTTCTCCATGGCTCACCTCCCTTCCTCTTCAGCAGTGCTAGGCTGTCCAGCAGCAGCCACTAGCCACAACTCCACATCCTGAACTCTTCACGATTAACTCCTGGAAAGTATATTCTCACTCCACTCTTTCCATTTTATCTCCTATTTTGTCCAGTCCTTCCCCTCCAGGTCTCCCCAAGAGTCCCAACTTCATCCACTCCCTATCCAGTTGACTTCTCCCATGCTGTGTTCATTCCCACTAGAGCCCAAGTCTCCAAGAGTTCCAGAGGCCACAGTGTAGCATCAAGGGAGCCCTGTGCCCTGTGCCCAGGAAAAGCCAAAGCAGATAAACATTTCCTCACTTAGACCCACACCAAGGGTGTCAGGATAGGAAGGATGAAAGATATGAAGAAGTGTAGCAAAGCTGAGAACACCTTCTAAGAGAGGCTGGCTTTCAAGCAGGATACTCTCCAGACGAGCTCTCTCTCTCTCTCTCTCTCTCTCTCTCTCTCTCTCTCTCTCT